TTGTAAAGATTTACGTAGTGGTTACGAATTGGGCTGCTAACCTCAAGGACGGCAGTTCGAAACTGCCAGCTGTTTCGCGGGAGAAAGATGAGGCTTTCTGCTCCCATAAAGATTTGCAGCCTAGGAAACCCTGTGCAGGGTCGTTATGAGTCAGAACTGACTCCACGGCAAATCACCAACCACCACCATAACATTAGTCAGCCTTGTTTAACTCCGTAATTGTGTCTTTAGGTGTATTAGTTCCTTGCCTTGATCCCACAGCACCATCTGGTGGTTGATGTGAGAAGCTGAACTTTGGAATTTCTAGTTTTCCATGAACAACCAAACCAAAACAAAAAATAAGAACTCACTTATGACAAACATAAAACTAGTGAAGAAGGGTCTATTTATCTACTTTATCCTTTAAAGATAGTCCCCAGCCTCTTGGCTCTAGCTACCCAATTAGGGAACCAAATGAAAAAGACCAGAGAATATGAATCTAAGATTCTTTGAAACCCTGCTTAATATAATACCTGATACCCAAGGGTAAGTAAAGAGAACACAGATCTGCATTTGATTCCCAAAAGGGAGATCAAAGCTCAGACCTCCATGACCGAGATATACTACTGAAAAGTCACTCTCTCTCCTGGGAGTTGGGATTTTTAATATTATCTTTCTCCCTTCCCATTAGCTAAAGATTGGGCACTTTTTGACTAAGCTAGCTGCTTAGCTGGACTATTGGATATAGGTCTAATATTGGGAAATGAGTATTTGTTTTTTTGTAATCCAAGGCTCCACCTCAATCCTGACCCATGAATAGTCTAAATGAACTAAGAGCAAATTCACAGACTGTCTGGGAATGGCAGCAAGAGCACCTTCAAAACGTGTGCTCCCTGAAGGTGGTGAGACAGGCTTGTTCTGGGAGGCACATCTGTCTTTCTGTCCAATGTCGCTCTTTCATGAAGGCAGTCACCCTGTTTTATTCCTGTTTCTTTTTTGTTTTAAAAGTTCGTATGGCAGTAACAGGGACATCCAAAGCAAAACAGAACATTTTGTTTGTAGAATCAGTCCAGGAACAGTATCAAAACCTCAGAACAAATGCTTATGGGCAGAATCAGAAGAGCTGAAATAAAGTGAAAGAAGTTGGTTGGTTGGTAGGTTGGTGGTTTGATAGATGAATTCATCCCTGTGTGCCCACATGCACTGCCCTGGTCCTCACAGTTTATGCTACTGTAAGAGAGGAAAGATAGGATTTATACAAGTAAGAAGGGACTTCAAAGGTCACTTTGGGTCCTTTCTTGGCAGGGAAGGGCCTTGCAGTAGAGGGACTTGACCAAAGTCACACAGATGGTGGCCTAACTTGGACTTGAACTCACATATGAATTTTTCAGAGTTCTTCCCACCCTGCCTTTTAAAACATATTTCTGCTCTGATCCCTATCACTGGAAAGCTCAATTTAACTTTTCTTACTTTATTTTCTGTTCTTTGCCATATTTTTCTTCATTTTAAGAAAATTCCTGAAAATTCTTCATCTTAAGAAAAAATAAAATTACAAAAAATTTTGTATTCATTTTGGTACGATTTGTCATCTTGACTTCATTATTAACTGAATCAGGACTTTATGAGATTAAATACAAATGAATTCAAGTGAATTACCTTCTCTAGTTATAACGCATTAAGGATCCCTGCCTCTAACTGAAAGGTCAGCAATTTGAACCCACCAGCTGCTTGGCAGGAGAAAGCTAAGGCAGTCAGCTTCCATGAAGAGTGGTTGTTGCTGTTGGTGGTGGTGTGCCCTGGAGTTGGTTCCGACTCACAGCGACCCTGTACGGGGTTTCCGAGGCTGTAAATCCTTAAGGGAGCAGAAAGCTTCATCTTTCTTCTGCGGAACAGCTGGTTGGTTAAAACTGCTGCACTTGAGGTTCGCAGCTGAATTCATAACCAGTACACCACCAGTAAAGCCTTGGAAATCCTATGGGGTCTATTCTACCCTGTAGGGTAGTGGTGGGTGCTAGAACCATAATAGAACACAACTTCTCATGGTTCGATTGGAAGACATATTCTCAAGGGCATGTTTCCATATGTCAGGTTATGAGGCCTGCCTAGGAATGAAGAGACTGTCTTCACAAAGGGTCCACTCAGCCTTTCCACTCACTGGCTACAGGAGACCTGCTATGGGGTATTTTTGGAGGTCTCGCTTCAATAAAATTGAAGACAATTTCTCATAACAGAATTATTTATGTGTTTTGGGAAAATCATTTATTCACTACCCAAATATTTCTTAAACACCTTCTATGTGTTGGTGACTCTATAGGACGACTGTAGAGACAATAAAAAAAACCAAAGCAGAGAATGGCAACATAAAATGTCAGTCTAAAGACAGGATGCAAATTTACAGATATTCTTAATTAGATTTTCACAACTAGAATTAGTTCTTAAGTCTATTTCTGAATTCAAAGAGTTTCTTTAAAGGGACAGCCTTCTAGGAACTGGTAAATTATAATTTATGGGGATCTGACAGCTTAACATTATTTGATTTTGTAAAACCACCCTATTATCACCACATATAGGGAGTGGGGTGGCTTTGGAGGATAGGCACTGGACTGCAAACCACAAGGTTGGTGGCTCAAGTCCACTAGCCGCTCCATGGGAGACAGATGAGGTTTCTGCTCCCTCAAAGCTTTGTTGCAGATGACTCAATGAAATTTAACAACTACCACCACATAGAGTCCTGGTGAGATGCTGTAGGATAAGCACTGGACTGCTAACCAAAAGGTAGGTGGTTCAAACGTACCAGCTGCTCCTTGGAAACCCCATGTTCTTGTTAAATGATGTTGAGTTGGTTCTGACTCACAGCGACCCTGGGGTTTCCAAGGAGAAGCTGGAGGGTTTGAACTGCTGACTTTGTGGTTCGCCGTCCAGTGCTGATCATATAGTGCCACACCAGGAGTCCTTGGAAACCTTGTACAAAGTCACTATTAGTTGGCACCAGTTGCACAGCACTTAACAACACCGCCATATGTACATGCATGCGCACACTCGTTACTCACCCAAATGTTCAGAGACCTTGTTGTTAAGTGACATCAAGTCGGTTCCAACTCATAGCAACCCTGTAAAGTGTTTCCGGGGAGCAGCTGGTGAATTTGAACTGCTGATCTTGTGGTTGAAAGTGACTTGATTGTCCAGTGCATTATCTGAGATTGTTTGAGATCATTCTCAACAACAGACATTGTTAAAAGTTCTAGTATAACCTACAGTACACCTTCTATCAGATATGATCAATTACTGTTTCTCTTATATAAATAACTAATCCTTTCCAAGCTAATGCAAAGCATAAAGTCATACTTCCTAGTCACAACCCAATTAAATCATTTCACAAAGACATCTATCTTGCTTCTCTGTGAAGTGTTCCAATGTTGATCTCAAAAAAGTTTCTGAAGCAGTGACGACAAAGATGGAGGCAGAGACTATGACGTGGACAGATGGAGCGGCTGGGGACTTTAGACCCAGAGAGGGAGAGGGGCTGTGTGCTGATGATTGGAGGGCAGGCTTGCAGGGTTGGTTGCCTCTGGTTGGTTGATGATGCATGGAGGGGATTATACTCATGGCAATGAAATGATATATGATAGTATGAATGTAAAGCTAATGTTCTCCCATGTAAACTAGTACATAATGCACAATAAAACATTAAAAAAAAAAAAAGTTTCTGAGACCCAAGAAACTTTCCTTGCTATCTAATTGAATTCCCAGGTCACTCACCTAAACACAGTCCACTTCCCCATTTTTCTCTGTGCTCAGAGAATAGCTGACGATTGTTACATTCTTATATATATTAAACTGTCATCAAGCCGTTTGTTGTTGTTGTGAAGTGCCGTCGAGTCGGTTCCAACTCATAGTGACCCTGTGTAGGATTTCCAAGGAGCAGTTGGTGAACTTGAACCGCCAACGTTGTGGTTCAAATGGCTTTGCAGTCTGGCGCATTAACAAGCCTCTTACCATACCTCAATTCTTCAGTTTATACAAACCAGCATATTCTTCTTTCTAAAATTACTCAAGACTTATTTAAACTAGATTTAAAGACTATCTTTAAATCATCCTTAGGATTCTTTCTAAGTCATCCTTATGAAAATGCTTATTTAAATTAAATCTTCATATTGCAAGCCTCACAGTATATGGTCTTCCACCCAAGACAGGAGTGATGGATGTGATGGGGAGATGAATTTATAGTCCATAAAAACAATTCCTGCTTTTACATAGCAGCAGTAGACATGCTAATTCATTTAACTGTGGTATTTGTGAGCCCTCCCTCCCAACGTATTTGTCAAGTTTGCATGCGAAACTATCCCATTCCTAGTAACTGCTTGTCTGAGAAAGCATCTAATAACAGTTTCAGTATCTTCAGGTAAGGACACCTTCATGAAGTCTTGAATTTGATACATGTTGTAGATAGTTTTTTCAGTGGGATTTCAAAGACTTGGATGACCTTCTTTGTCACAGATTTGTAATAGCAATGCCAGGCCACAGTTGTTGCTAGAAGAACCCATATCTTGGCCAGCAACTGCTCCCTAATTTTACTTTTTATCTTTTTTTGGTCTGGAAAGTCATCTTTTTCCCATCTTCTAGAATGTACCATGCAAAGGGAAAACTTCAAACTTCACCTCCCTGTCCTGCCCTAAGTATCTTGTATAATGAATTCTAGAACAAGCGCTGAACCTCAGCCACATTATTGCTCAAGATCCGTCAGCCCTTATAAAAATGTGGGCCCCAAATGCCTGCCTTGAGACCAAAATTTGTAAGTGTTTTGAGATGTTTAGATGCAAAATATAAATATGTTTCTTCTCTTTGATTCATTTGAAATATGAGGTATTCTTCATATATTTCAGAGTTGTGGAGAGCTTATAAACCCACTCCCTTTTATTCAATTACCAGTCCATGTTCTGAAAGTACTTTTCTTTTGTATAAACCTCTCTTATGGAAAATGCATTAAAATATTATTTTTATTTTTTTATGTCCTCTTGCAGCCTGTCACATACTGGAATGCCGCAATGGAATGGCCCAAGATGTCATAAGTACCATAGGGCAGGCTTTTGAACTCCGGTTTAAACAGTACCTGAAAAATCCTTCTTGGAATACTTTCTGTGAAAGGTCAGCCAAGAGCTCTTAATTATTTGGCTTGTCATATTTTGGCTTTCTTTTTAAATCAATATGGCATTTGTAAATTGACTAATGAAATTAGCCATTTCCCCCCTACAAATAGGCATAGTTTCAATACAAAATAATAGTAACATTTTCTGCTTTACTTTCATTCACATTCACCCAGATCTTTTCTTTGTTTTATAATGAGATTAAAGGAGACACTAATGAGAAGGGAATAACCCTGTTTCCCTAATGTTACACAGAGCTACGAATGAATTAAGTAGCATCGTAAAATAATAACCATTAACTAGTTTCTCAAATTTGTTTCAACCCCCAGATCTTTTACATATCAGTATATAAAGTGATATGTTAAAAAAAAAAACCCACACATAATGAACAAAGAAAAATAATAGGAATCAAATGTCTGTAGCAGGAATTTGTGTTAAGCCATGCTGCTTTGAAATATAGAGCCCATCCAAATAAACTGTGGCAGGGGATGGAACCCAACCTGACCCAAGTATTCTGTCTAAGGCACAGAGATTCTGGAATGAAAGCTGAACCTTTTGAGGCCTGCCAGCCTCCACCAAGGGTGGAATGCTCCTAGGACTCTGGTTTTCATAATTCACGCCTGAGAAGCAAAACTCTTGGGCACTTTAAAATGCATTTTTACCCCAAATTTGTTATTTTGTGTCGCAACTAACACTGGGTCTGAACATCTGCTTTTATGAGGTAATCAGGGTAGCAAAGGAGAGGGGGTTCCCAGAATGCCTTGATGTTGACGTTTTCTCAGGATAGCAGTTACACATTAGTGCCATCGTTTCGTTAACATGTAACGAACCCAACAAAACTGTGTGGGTTGTCAATGGAATCAGTTCAATCCAAAAGGATTTGATTTATTCTTTTTCATAAGAAACTCTTACATATTCCAGTTAGGAAGAAAAGCTCTTTTGTTTTTCTGCCCTGTTTCGATTTTAAAACAATTGCATGTTTACATAAATCTACCCACTTACCACATATGGTTCTAATATTTCTTTATGAATCCCATACACTCCTCCAGATTTGTGTAGACAAGATAGTTGGCCATAGTTCTCTTATTTTTTTTCCCATTTTGGTTTAATAAACTAGGCCAGGCCCTCTACCCAAAGAACAATATCAAAATTTTCTTAGAGCAAAACATATCCTAAATGGGGCAATCAAAGTGTGCTGGAGATACCCAAGAAAACTTTGTATTTCTATGGTGTGGTGCTGCGGATTAATGCATGTGACTGTAAGGTCAGTTTGAACCATAAGGTGAGTGGTTCAAGCTCACCAACCACTCCTCGGAACTGTATACGGGGTCGCTATGAGTCGGAACCGACTTGACGGTACTTAACAACAATAACATGACAAGAATAAGGAGCTCTGGTACTGTAGTGGATTACGAGCTGAGCTGCTAACCTCAAGGTTAGTAGTTTGAATCTACCAGCCACTCTGTGGGATGAGGCTTTCTGCTTCCATAAAGATCCACAGCCTCGGAATCCTATACAGAGTTGCTCTGTGTCAGAACCGACTCCACGGCACATAACCACCAACTACCACGACAAGAATGGAGTCCTGGTATTGTGCTGTAGGATAAGCACTAGACTGCTAACCATAGGGTCGGTGGTTCAAACCCACTAGCTACTCCTCAAAAACCCCTTTACAGGGTCACTATGAGTTTATACCGACTCGACAACACTTAACAATAACAACACGACAAGAATAAATTGCTTTTAGGGAGTTTATATATTTTTATCACTAAAGGGAGACACTAACACATCACCCTTGGCATTTTCTGTTGGCTTACCCCACTTTAACTGTCTAAGCTAAACAACTCAGCCATTTGATTGCCTCCATCCAGATGTTTGACTTCACTTCAGCAGAGCTGTAAACGTAAAACATGAAATCAAGTTTCTCATGATGATTTGCATGTTCTGATCCCTCTGCATCCCCTACAGCATTTAAATTCCTGCCCAGCCTCTTGGGATTCTTTTTTCCCTTATAGTGAGGAGATACAGATGGATGGCAGTGCTGAGGAGAGAGAAGATCATGAATATTACAATGAAATCCCAGGGAAGCCACCACCTGCAGGTGGTGTTTCAGACGCGCGGATGAAAGTTCAAGCCACAGAGCAAATGGCTTACTGTCCAATACGATGTGACAAGTTATGCTATTTGGTAAGTAATGTTTTATTGGTACGGGAGCCAGCAGTGCTATTTATTGCTGTCCTTGTCACTGGAGTGTTTGAGAGTTCCCAAATGCTAGTTTAGAGAAAGTCCCATCTTCCTCAAATAAGGAGTCAGAGAGTGAATCATTGTTGGAACCTGCACTAAATAATTTTTATTCCTAATTTCCTAGCCTCAGTCTCAGCATTAGCCTCAGCTTCAGAAAATGACCTCATATCTTATTTCTCCTGGGAGGACTCATAATACATGTTACCTTCAATTTCATCCTTCCCCATCTCCAAGCCTCCTATATTCTCATTGCTTTTCTTCCTTACCTACTGTCCCCAAAGCTGATCTTTCCCCTGTGTTCCCTCATGCCCTCTATGTAATTTTCTGTCCACTAACAACTGTCTCAGTCTTATTCTTTCTCTGTCTCTCTGCAAATAATCTTAGACTCCACCAGCCTAACTAATAACATCTCACCTCCATCACCTCTTCCTTTCATCCACAAACTTTTAGAATGTGTTCTCTCTATATTCCTCTGTACTTTCACGTCTATGTTATACTTTTAAGATTTGAATTTTGCTTGACAACTTGATAGAAATTATTTTTACAAGGATCACCAATGGTTTAATCGCCAGATGTATTCCTTTTCTAAGTATCCTCCCTCCACAGTAATTAATAGCTGTTGGCAGCATCTTCCTTTTTGAGACTTTTCATTGACTTCCAAAACATTTCTATTTTGTGAATCTCATCCTGCATGTCTATTTACTGTTTTTTGTTATTGTTGTTTTTTCATTTTTTTCCTATCATTTTATTATGAGTATTTTCAAGCATACAGAGAAGTTAAAAGTACAGACATCATCTAGATTCTATAACTAGCATTTTACTATATTTGTCTGATCATAGCATAGTGGTTACGAATCGGGCTGCGAACCTTAAGGTCAGCGGTTTGAAACTACCAGCCGCTCTGCGGGAGAAAGATGAGGCTTTCTACTCCCATAAAGATTTACAGCCTCGGAAACCCTGTACAGGGTCGCTATGGGTCGGAACTGACTCAACGGCACTTAACAACAGCAACAACATATCTAGTCATGTATCATTTCTGTATCACTCAATCTATCTTATTTTTGATATGTTCAAAATAAGTTGCATCTTATCTTCTTATAGTGTGCATTCTTTCTCCCCTGCCCCACAAGCCCATGTCCCCAGGCTACCACCCTGTAAGCTCTGCCTTTAGAGCTCCTTTCTTTGCATCCCATTGCTTATTTATGTCCATGTTGAACTTGCTATTTTCTCCTGGATGCCAAACTAATTTCCTATACTGATTTCTTCATCTTTATTGGTACTACCATTCTTTCATTCATCAACACTCTTGTTTTTCTCACACTGTGGGTCCCATATCAACTCATTCTTCAAAACGTAGGATTCTGTCATGAAAGTACCTTTGGAAACCACCCTATCTTCTTCCATTATTATTGCCACTTTCTAAGTTTTGGTTTTCACTTGCTTGGATGACTTTGAAGCCCCTGGCCTATCTCTAATTTTATTCCCTCCAATTCTTCTGAAAACTACTATCAGATTAATCTTTCTAAAGTATTGACACGGCCATTCCCTTATCAAAGAGGGCTATATGGATAGGATGCTGGAGCTCTTAGATTGGATGAGATTTTCAAGGATAAGAAGTCTTGGTCGAGCTAGGGCTCTAATATGCCAATTCAGAGTTAGATAGGCATTTGTTCTTTGGCCAGTATCTACACAAGTGTCCTGGAAATCACAGTTTCTGGTGGAAACTTCGATTGAGTCCTGGAATGTGACCTTCCAAATAGAAGCAGTAACCCTCAAGCCTTTCACTTACAGCCTTTATGAACTCCCAACCCCAACCCCCAAACTCCCACAACCAGCTCCACCTCTGCCACTCCACAACAATGCAATGTATTATGGCAGAAGTGTAATCTCCCCACCCCAAAATTCGAGTTTCCTTTTCTTATCTGTCAAACTCTTCTGGTGTCAGAAAGTGACCCACTCTACTATATTCTGATGGAAGCATTACTGGTCATCTGTTGCTGTTGTTTTTTTCCTTCTTTCTTTAAAGCTTATGAATCTACACTATCTTTATAAATGTTTTGCAATTTGTTGTTCATACAGCCTGGAAACTCCAAGTGCAGCAGCGTATATGAGAACTGTTTAGAACAAAGCAGACCAATGGGTAAGTCCAACTGCTCTCCATTCACTACCCTCCTAATTCCTTTCACACCATATGGACACATATGGCCCATGTTTTTACATGCCTCATGGAACAGGCAGTTATAATTGCACATGTAACCCTTGGAAGGCTCACAATTTTCCCACTTCTTGTGGGTTCATTATACGTATAGTTCTCCTTTATGGGCCCTTTCTTTGTTTTGACATCATGAAAGCTCTTTTGCTGAGAAAGTGCTTTCTCTGTTCAAAGCTCAAGGGAGTTACAGTCCATAGAAAAGCAGACAGTAAGCTAACATAAAAATAGATGCCTGTCAAATACAATAGGATTAGGATAACCTAATTTGGCAAAGGGAACAAAAGGCAGCCTGAAATGTGAGAGTCCCGGTTAGGGGCCTATCCATCCCATACTTGCTAGGGCATTAAATGTCTTATTACTGCATGTGATAATTGATGCTGGGCACACATTTTCTGAAGCACAAATGTAGAACATCAGCTTTCAGACTTGAAATATAGTTTAATGAAAACAAGTTATACTGCTAGATAGTCATTTCATTCTTCTAAATTGTTGAAGGCATTTATTTCTTTAAGGAAGGAAGTGTTGGTGTTTTATAAGGAGCAGTGACTGACCAGCATCAATAATGCAGGATAAGTAATGTAGGTGGATACAGTTGGATGACCAAGCTTAAGGATTCAAGTTAAATTAGTAATACCTAGCCACCTAGAAGGTAGTAAGTTCCAAGGATACTCTCATATATTTGATGGAATTATGTCAATGTTATATTAATTTTTTCACTTCTATATAGTAGAAAATACATGGGTTATTGTTCTTGGTAGAGCCCTGGTTATCATCTCCCTATTCTACCTTGGTGTGGTAAAGTAGGATAAGCACAGGATTGCTAACCATAAGTTCAGCACTTCAAACCTTTCAGCCACTCCTTGGAAACCCTACACAGGCTCATTCTGAGTTGGAACTTTTTCAACAGCACTTAACAACAGCAACAACATACAAATGTTTTAAATAAGATTTGGCTTTTCCTTCCTAAGACATTTATGTATTTAAGTATTGACATAAAACTTGAATTCCGGTGTATTACACATAAGCACTGCATTAGGCTTCTGGTTGTTGAAGGAGTTAATTGTACTTATTGCTAGACATATAAAAGATCCCTATCCTCAAAACTAAATTCACTTATGGAAAAAAGAATTAGCGAAATAGCATAATGTTTCCCCAACCTCCAAGTTAAAATGGAAATGTTGATATTTTTAATCAAAAAGACGTTACATTTCTACAAACCCTAAGGGCTTGCACTTAAAATTTTGGTATTTACAGTATATACACTGTCTATGTATGAATTTACTTTCTACCACAAATCTTCTCTTAGGCAAATTGGACAGGTTCTCGGAGTAATACTTGGCAAAAGGAAGTTTTGGAACACAGATTGGCTGACATGTGTGATGAAGTTCTCGCCAACCACATACTTTAACCAAGAATGATTTTAACTCTGGGTACAGGGTGGAGTGTCTTCTTTTTCTTTTCATTTAAAATAACATTTCTGATTTAATTAACATGACACGTTTGACAACAAGAAATGTCAGTTTTCAAGAGCGATTGGGCACAGACAATGATGATTTTGTGTGATCCTATGGGATGGCCAACTTGGTGCAGTCTTTGTGAGGAGGAGATCCACACCCTGGGGGTCAGGACTAAAGGTTGATCCAGGGTGTTGAGAACATGATGGAGTCAATGTGCTAGAAAAGATAAAGTGGGTAGACCCTCAGGCATTTGTTCATTTAGCTGACAAACATTTTTCTTTTGCACATCTGCTTCATACCAAGCACGAAGAATCATAAGATACAAAGGTAAATGGATAGTAATGAGGAGCTCAGGTGGTGCAGTGGGCTAAACATTGGGCAGCTCATTGAAAGGACAGTGGTTCAAACCTACCAGCTACTCCACAGGAGAAAGACAAGGCAATCTGCTTCCATAAAAATTTACAATCTCAGAAGCCCTAATAGGCGTTGATCCATATTTCAATTAATCTTGACACTTTTGCTAAGAATAAAAATAAAAAGTCTTCAATCCTTGATTTCTTTGCAGTGATCTGTTTAGCTACTTGTCCATTTATGAACTCAAGTTAGTTTAATTTAGATAACATAATTAGTAGATCCAGTTTTAGGCTGGGTTCTTTAGAGGTGAAAACATTTATATGAATAGATACACTTGTTGGTGGGACACAACTCAAAATGAGGAGAAACAACTGCAAACATCCATTAATAACTGGAACATGGAATGTACAAAGTATGAATCTAGGAAAACTGAAAGTTGTCAAAAATAAAATGGAATGCATAAATATTGATATCCTAGGCATTGTTAAGTACCGTTGAGTCAGTTCCAACTCATTGCAACCCTGTGTAGGGCTTCTGAGGAGCAGCTGGTGGGTTTGAACAGCTGACCTTGTTTTTCATAGTCCAGTTCATATCCTACTGCACCACACCAGGAGTCCTAAACATTAATGAGCTGAAATGGACTTTGGCTCTCATACTTCAGACATCCATCATCCAGAGGGACCACTCCCTGGAGAAGGATGCCATGCTAGGTAAAGTAGGTCAATGGAAATGAGGAAGACCCTCAACAAGATAGACTGGCACAGTGACAGCAGCAATGGGCTCAAGCTTAACAACGATTGTGAGGATGGCGCAGGACTGGGCAGTGTTTTGCTCTGTTGTGCATAAGGTCATATGACTCATACTTAACTCAATAGCACCTAACAACAGCAACTGTATATGTTTTTGTTGTTAAGTGATGTGGGGTTGGTTCCGGCTCATAGCGATCCTGTTTCAGGGAGCAGTTGGTGAGTTTGAACCACCGACCTTGCAGTTCAAACTGACCTTGTGGTCCAGTGCTTTATCCCACAGGTCCCCACCAGAACTATATATATCTAAAATCATGGTGCCTCTGTAGGATAAGCACTGGACTGTGAACAAAAAGGTCAGTTGTTGGAACCCACCAGCTGCTCAGCTGCTCCTGGGGAGAAAGATGAGGCTTTCTGCTTCCACAAAGAATTAAAAATCCTTGGAAACTCTATACAGGGTCTCTGTTAGTCAGAACTGACTTGACAGCACTTGAGAACAATAGGTGGAATCCTGGTGTGGCACTGTAGGATAAGCAACTGCAAGGTTGGCAGTTCAAACCCATCCCCTTCAGTAACTACTTGGAAACCCTAGACAGGGTTACTATGGGTCAGAACTGGCTTGACAGAAACAGAAACACAACATATATATGTACAGAGAGAGAATGAGGTTTATATCAAGGAAATGGCTCATACAATTGTTGTTGTTGTTGTAATGTGCTGTGGAGTCAGTTCCGACTCGTAGCAACCCTACACAGGGTTTCTGAGGCTGTAAATCTTTACGGGAGCAGAAAGCCAAATCTTTCTTCTGTGGAACAGCTGGTAGTTTTGAACTGCTAACCTTGAGGCTTGCAGCCCGATTCGTAACCACTACGCTACCAGAGCTCCTCACACAATTGTAGAGGTGGGCAAATCCCAAATCTGCAGGTTGGATTATCAGACTCATTTAGCTACAGGACTGATAAACCAAGATCAGACAGCAGGCAGGCAAGTCAGGCAGGTAAGATGGCATGTTACTGACCACTCTCAGGATCAGCAGGCAATAGAACAGGCCGCTGGCTCAAATCCAAAGAACTGGAGGTTGGATGCTAAGCCAGATGCAGGATTCAGCAGAAAGCAGCAAGCTTTGCCTGAGCGATATATTGGAAGCAGTCGATACCCTGAAGGAAACTTCCTTTCAACGGACTGGCTGCTCATAGCTGATCTCATCATAGAGGGCTCACATTCTATTAGATCTCATCACGAGGGATGACTGCCTCTCAACTGCCAAACCACTGACAATCCTAGCCCAGTCAAGTGGGCGCAAAACCCACTAAACTAAGCAAATGGAAAGTACGAGGGTGAGTCAAAAATTATCCACACTCAGGTTATATTAAAACATCTGTCCACATCCATGGCTGATGGAAACATTGAGTGTCCACGTAAAATGCTTCTGCCAAATAGACAAGTGCAGTGGATTATGTGGCAAATCATTTGCAAATCAGCCATGGCTTGGCCTATGAAATAATCCATGACAGACTTGGGTTTCGAAAAGTTTGTGTGAGAAGGGCACCAAAAGAATTCATAATCAGAATTGTTTGAACTGTTGCAAACCAATTTGGACCCATACTTGAAGGAAGGTGAAAGTTTATTTAAAAACATTGTACTGGTGATGAGACATGGATTCATCACTACAAGCCTGGGAATAAACAGCAGAGGAGAGAATGGAGACATCCTCAATCACTGACTAAGAAAAAGTTCAAAAGTCAACCATCAGCTGGAAAATTGATGCTTACAGCTTTCTGGGATCCCCAAGAGTCAGTATTGGAACTCTATCAGGAAAAAGGGTTAACAGTCAACAGTGCTTGTTACAGTGAGATGCTTACTGAAGAACTGAAGCCTGAATTTGGGATTAAACTCAGAGGACTGCTATCCAAGGGTGTTGTGATCTTGTATGACAATGCATGTCCACACACCTCTGCCCACACTGTTAAAATTCTTTGTTTTGAGGTGTTAAAGCATCCTTCCTGTAGTCCTGATCTTGCTCCATTGGAATTTCACCTGCTTGGTGCCCTGAAAGCAGTCCTTCCAGGACGAATATTCACTTCAGATGAAAATGTGAAGACAGCAGTGCTTCTGTGGCTTGCAGCTCAGCCTAAAACATTGTTTAATAAGGCAATATGAAAGCTTGTTGACAGATGGACAAAGTGAATTGAAAAGCAAGGAAATTATGTTGAGAAATAATGTATTTCTCTTTTCTAGCTGTTGATTAAAATAAATTCTGTAACCGCAGTGTGGATAATTTTTGACTCATCCACATATAATAGGTTACAAATAGTCCTGTGGAGCCCTCCTTATAGAAATCCCTCTCCTCTTTCAGGAAATCCCAAAGACTGAGTATGACAGGTGACAGGTGTGAAACAGACAAGGAATAAAGGAGGAATTAAAGCAGACTGTAATCTTCTGACAGTACTTCTCTTACTTGGTGTACCTCTTTGGTTTCTATAATATGAATTATAAGAACCAAAGCATTATTCATCATAATGACAAATCCAATATGAGATTGGGCCTTAGACCACATGGAATGGTTAATTAACTGAAGCAATAGAAGGGCTGGTGTTTTACCATAAGACAAGAGAATGTTACTACTTCAGGTGCAACCTCATAGTGATCCTGTAATGCATATGGCCAAAATTATAAATATACTTGTTTAACCAGATAAGCAAAAGTTACCTATTCCAAGATTCTTAGGAACAAACTATCTGGAATATTAAAAAATACATCATGCCATCAGTAGTGAACTATGTCATTAGTATGAAGAAGTTTAAAAAAGTTAATAGAAAGATTCCATTTTGAAGCCTCCTCATATATATCTGTGCAATAACTATTGATTATGTGCTGTTGTATGCCAGGGTTGTGCTAGGAACCGGGATTGCAGCATAGACAAGACAGGTACACTCTCTGGTGTATGCTGGTTTGTGCCGTTTGCCAACACACTTGGCCCTCTTCCTTGCCTGGCTGTCCCTCTGAATCTTCCCACCTATGTTCTGTCTGCTGTTGAAGCAGCAGGTCAGCTGATGGGCAACGAGGGGGATAGAGGCCAAGGGCAGGGTACTTTCCGTCAATGGCCAGTGCTTCTCTTGCCTTTACAAGACAATCTTAATAGCCAATGTTCAGTCCTGGTGAGGAGTGCTGGTAACCTCAGCTTTCGCTCAATGCTGCACTCAAATGTGATTTTATATAAATTTTACAAAGCAAAAACATAACACATTGATTGCCACTTGTCCCTCCAGGTCATGCCCAGGAGAGAGGGGTACAGTCCCAACAAGACTCCTCATTAGTGAAGCACACCATGTGTCGAGTGGATCTCTTTGACGACCCATGTTACATTAATACACAGACGCTTCAAAGTACTCTTGGATCTGCTCGAAATCAAAGCTTGACTCAAGCTCTTGGGAGCCCATGGCACCGTGGCAGTAAGTAGCTATTCACCGTGGCAGTAAGGGTTCCAAGGGCTGCCCTTAACAAACGATCACAAACTAGATGGCACAATGGTTAAGCAACTGCCAACTGAAAGAAAGGTCAAAGATTCACACCTAACAGCAGCTCTTCGGGAGAAAGATCTGGCAATCTGACTGTGTTGAAATCAACACAACACACAATGACAGAAGGCTAAAGCAACAGAAATTTTTGTCTGTGGTAACTGGAACCTACAAGTCCAACCTTATCTAGTGTCTGTCTATCTCTGAGCTTAACTAAGTGGATACATTTCCTTTACTGATTCAGCTAATTTAAGTTTTCAGCTACTAGCTGCCCTTGGCATCTTAACTTGCATAGCATTTTTTTTTCCCTCCATTGGTGGCTCTAATTAGCCTTCAAAAACTGCAGAACTAGCCTCTTGTAGCTATCGTTGTTGTGACATGCCATCGAGTCGGTTCCGACCCATCGCGACCCTGTATAGAGTTTCTGAGGAGCAGCTGGTGAGCTTGAACTGCTGACCTTGCAGTTCAAATGGCTTTGCAGTCTGGCACATTAACCCACAGTGCCACGCTAGAATTCATTTTTTGAAGCATGTTTAAATTGCACAATCAGGCTCTTCAAGAGTAACAAAAGTGATTACACTTAGAAATTCGAAACCCTTATTAGTTTCCTGGGGCTGCTCTACAATTTACCACAAACTTGATGGGTTGAAACAACAGAAATTTATTCTCTCATAGTTTTGGAGGTCAGAAGTCTGAAATCAAGGTGTGGGCAAACTTGACTCCTTCTGGAGACTTTGAGGGGAAATCCAAACTTTCCTAGCTTCTGGTGGTTGCTGGAAGTCCTTGGGGGTCCCTTGGCTCGTTAATGCATGGCTCTAGTCTCTGCCTCGGTCCACACATAGCCTTCCCTGTTGTGTCTCTGTCATAAATCTCCTTCTCCTTTCTGGAGACATAAGTTCTAGGAGGATTTAGATCCCATTCTAAATCTAGGATGATCTCATCTCAAGATCTTTAGTGTAATTACGTCTCAAAGACCCTATCTCCAAATTAGGTCACATTTACAGGTAGTAAGGATTACAACTTGGCTGTATTGCAATTAACAACAACAACAAATTTAAACCACATAAGGCTTTCTGTTCCAGCAAAAATTTACAGCTTTGGAAAGCAAAGCAGAGTCACTGAGTTGGAATCGACTTGATAGCAACATGTGCTTTCTGTCGCTATAGGTCAATTTGAAATTTTTAGAGTTTTATGAAAGTGGACTTTTACAATATTCAGTATTTTTGGCTTTCTTTCACTTAGCATATTTAATCATACTATGAAATTCATTCATCTGGTTTTGTGTATTCTTTTTATTACTTACAGCTCTGGTAGCGTAGTGATTATGAATCAGGCTGGAAACCTCAAGGTCAGCAGTTCGAAACTACCAGCTGTTCCACGTGAGAAAGATGAGGCTTTCTGCTCCCGTAAAGATTTACAGCCTCGGAAACCCTGTGCAGGGTCGCTATGAGTCGGAACTGACTCCACAGCACATAACAACAACAGTATCCCTTAGTAGTATCCCTTAGTAGTCCTCCATTATGTGGAGATTCCACACATTTTGTATTCATTTACTAGTTGATAGATATTTGGGTTGTTTCTAGTTACAATATAAACCCATCACAAACAAAGCCTCTATGACCATCTATGTGAAATATTTATATGATGATATTCTTTCATTTCTCTTGGGTAGATGACTGCATTTTTTTAAAAAAAAAGCTGCATACTGTTTTTCAAAGTGGTTGTACCATTTTACATAATAGAAGTGTATGAAATTCTCAGTTTCTCCAAATCCTTACCTATATTTGATACGATGTCTTTTAAATTTTATCTATTTGAATAGATTTGGAGAGGTATTTCATTATAATTTGTGTTTATGTAATATGGAGTCCTGGTGTGGCATGTGGGGGAGAAATGACCACCAGGGCAGTGGTTCATACTCACCAGCCGCTTCTTGGGAACCCAATATAGGGTTGCTGTGATTCAGGACCAACTTGGCGGCACTTATCAACAATAACAACAACAAAATATCTAACAGGGAATGCCTTGGCTCTGTAAGATAAACACTGGACTGTGAACCACAAAATTGGTAGTTCGAGTCCACCAGCCACTCCTCAGGAGAAACATGAGGTTTTCTGCTCCCAAAATGGTTTACAGCCTTGGAAGCCCAATACAGGGTCACTATGAGTCAGAACTGAATCAATTAACATTTAAGTCATGCATGTTAGTGATGCAGTGGTTAAGAGCTCAGCTTCTAACTAAAAGGTCGTTGGTTCAAACCCATCTACAGCTCCACAGGAAAAAGTTGTGGTGGTCTAATTCCATGAAGGGTCGCTATGAGTCGGAACTGACTCCATGGCACATGACAACAACAACAACAACAAACCCTATGAAGCAGTTCGACTCTGTCCTATCAGGTTGCTAGCAGTTGGAATTGACTTGACAACAGTATTTAAGTCACTACTCTACCTCTTGTTTTCCTGGTGTGACGTGTTGGATAAACACAGGACAGCAAGCTTGGTTTGAACCACAAGGTTGGTGGTTCAAACTCACCAGTTGCTCCTTGGAAACCCTATACTGGTTTTCTATGAGTTAGAAGTGATTCAGCGCCACTTAACAACAAAGGATTCCTATATGGAGTATAGGTAGCACTGTAGGGTAAGCATTGAACTGCTAACTATAAGGTCAGCAGTTTGAGTCCACCAGATGCTCCTTGGGAGAAAGATGAGGCTTTCTCTTCCCATAAAGATTTACAGCCTCAGAAACTGTATAAAGGGTCACTATCATGGCACTTAAGGAGCTCTGGTAGCATAGTGGTTACGAATTGGGCTGCGAACCACAAAGTCAGCAGTTCGAAACTACCAGCTGTTCTGTGGGAGAAAGATGAGGTGTTCTGCTCCCGTAAAGATTTACAGCCTCAGAAGCCCTGTACAGGTCGCTATGGGTCGGAACTGACTCGACAGCCCTTAGCAACAACAACAGGATTCCTGTTTACTCCATTCCCTCGTTCCAGTCCATATAGATTAGAGCTTGTGAAGATATTCTGAGTTTTAAGATTTGGACACTTAGATTTTGAACAATCCTTTCAAATATTTTAGATTTACTCTCGGTTTTTATTTCAGCTATATGCATTTACAGAAGGAAGGGTTGTCTAAACCAGGGTATAATTTTGAAGTTGTTTGTGTGCGTGGGGAACAATAGTCACTATTTCTATCCCATTTAGTGATGCTGTTAATTTTATTTATTGAAAAATCCCTTTGTAAGTCATCTATTGTGGTGGTGGTTGTGTGCCACCAAGTCTATTCCAACTCATAGCACCCCTGTATAGTGTTTTCAAGGAATGACGGGTGGGTTTAAACCACCAACCTTGCTGTTAGCAGTCCAGTGCTTATCCTGTAGCATCACATCAGGACTTCATATATGGGGAGTAAAACACAATAAGAAAAATATCATTTTCCTATCAAATTGCTTCCAGAAATTAATGGACAAGCAAGAACATAAATAAATAAAAATGAAACAAACCCCAAACCCACAATTAGCTGGAAAAGAAATAAACAAAAAATGCTTTTCATAAAATGTTGATGGTTGTTGGATTCCGAGATTGGCTTGATGACAAATTCAGTTTGCTCCCAAGGTGGAGAACAAGCCATTGAGAAGAGTCTTTTCACTAGCCAAAGAAGTCCCCCTCACCTAGGCTGCCAAGGGCGACTCTCCAGCAAGCAGAGCGAGCCATGGCAAGACAAAACTTAGAAGGAGGTTTTCCTGAACCTCAGCTTCACCAAAACCAGTTCAGCCAGTTGCTGTTGGGTCCATTTTCACATCATGGAGACCCTGTATTATCACTGTCCAACTGTGTTCAGAGGGCTTTCCAGAGATGATTTTTCAGAATAACCAGGCCTTTTGGCTTTGTGGGTTTTGGTTTGTTTGTTTTGAGGTGCCTGAGGGTGAAGCCCGAAGCCTTTTTGTTAGCAGTGAAGCATGTTTAACCTTTGCATCACCCTTAACTATCAGCTGAAAGTAACTAAGTCCTGCTCTGGCCAAAATTGTAACGGCAAAATGTGTTCTCACTAATTCTAGTCTTCTAGAATCACCCTTTCTCTGTTTCCTTGCCTTAGTGGCAACATGTTGAATGATTTAGGTCCCTGGTACCTGTTCACTGTTTATTTTCTATAGAGTCCCTGGTGGCACAATGGTTAAGTGCTTACCTGTTAACTAAAAGGTTGGTGGTTCAAACTCACAGGAGAAAAACATAGTGATCTTCTCTCTTACATCTTGTTGTTGCTCTCGAGTCTGTTCTGACTCATAGCGACTATGTGTAGGATCTCCGAGGAGTGTAGGTTTGAACTGCTGACCTTGTGATTAGCAGTCCAGTGCTTATCCTATAGTGCCACCAGGGCTCCTTAACCTGACTTTGTTGTTGTTGTTAGGTGCCATTGAGTTGGTACCAAACCATAGTGACCTTATGCACAGCAGAACAAAACACTGCCCGATCCTGGGCCAACCTCACTACTGTTGCCACGCTTGAGTTCATCAATGCTGCCACTTGGCCAATCCATCTTATTGGGGTCTTTCTCTTCTTCTCTGACCCTCCACCTTACCAAACATGATATCCTTCTCCAGCAACTGGTCCTTCTGGACAATATATCCGAAGTAGGAGAGATGAAGTTTGGCCATCTTGGCCTCCAAGGAGCACTCTCGCTGCACTTCTTCCAACACAGATCTAGTATATTTTTAATTGAAAGGTGGTACAAAAGCTGTTTCAAATAAGAAATTGCCCTTGATTTTGAGAGAAGCATATTGAAATATGTACCTGTAAAGGTGTAATGAGACAGACTGATGTGGCACTGTAGGATAGGCACTGCTAACAGAAAGGTTGGCGGTTCAAACCCACCACCCGCTCCTCAGAAGCCCTAGACAGGGTCACTATGAACCAACCTTGAGGTCGAGTGCTTATC